AGGGAAGGGGCAGAGAAAGAGAGGAACTGAGGATCTGAAGAGAGCTCTGTGCTGACAACAGAAAGCCTGGTGGGGAGCTCAAACCCACCAACTGTGAGATCATGACCTGAGCCAAAGTCAGATGCTTAACCAACTGGGCCACCCAGGTGCCCCCCAAAATCTTGTTTTGATGGCCTTTTCTCTGGTCATCAGTAGACTCTCCTTCATTGCTTTGTTCTTCATTCCAATTGGAATGGAACTTTTTTGTTTGCTTGTTTGCTTTGGTTTTGGTTTTTTGGTTTATTTTGGAATGGGACTTTTGCTCTGATTTCCACACTCATTGCATCACTTATAGTTAATTTGTTGGGTGTGTGTCTTCCTCTCAGCAGAGGGTAACTGCTCTGTGTAAATTCTTGCCTCATCCAAGGTTCCCTTTGGTTGCAAGTAGAGACACCATCTCGTACTACCTCATAAAGGAAATTTATTAATGATACAAGAGTGTTGGAAAGCTGTTAACAGCAAAGCCATCCTCTTCGTCTCACTTGGTCTCTCCATCTCTCTGTGTCTCCTTCACTCAGCTTTCTCATGCTTGTGGTGGAAAAGAGCTGCCTTTTATATACCTTGGTTATATAACCACTCACAATGAATTGGCTCTTTTTGAATTCCAATCCCAAATTCATGAGTGGCCCAGGTAGGGTCTGGAGTCTGCCCCTGGCCAGTCATAATTACTAATGCTGTGGTTCTTCTCATGACATTCTCCTCTCCTCCTCAGATGCCTGGCCCACAGGTCCAGCAGGCTTTACCCTAGTACAAACTGTCCTTGGCTTGTGACTTTATCCAGAACCACCCTGCCACCCACTGAGTGGTGCCTCATGGTCTAGAATCTCCTCTCTCCCTCTCCCAAGGCCCGAGTCACAGTCCCACCACTGCAAGGAGCCCTTTGATGGCCTCTAATAAAGGTCCTGGCTCAGGGAAGCTAGAACTGTCCCCTGGAGAAGAATGTGGAGCAGGTTAAGGTTTACCTGCATCCACAGGCCAGCTGGACAGGCAGGTTACAA